TGGAGGCGTGCAGTTTAAGTCCTATGTTCCACTGAGAACCCAATTGAACAATAATAATAATAACATCTTTTACTTACGGGGAATTTATCTCGAAGAATATTCTCTGTTCATTCATCAGTCTTTAAACTTCCAATGGTCGTCTTCAGTGAATATATATATACATCAAATAGGATTCAGAATCCTAACTGATTCGATAAAGTATTTTGTGCATTGGGACTATATAGTGGCCCCTAGATCTGTATTGATACGTAATCATTTGAATTTAGATATTTTGTGTGAATAACTCAGAAGTGAACTTATTCTAATCAGCCGAAACACAAAAATGGCTGAATATGTCAAAATTATCAAGTGATAAAAAGCAGTGAGTTGTAATAGACTAAACACTCCTCTTGAGGATACACTCAAAAACGATGATCTTGTGACTGCAGAAACAATTATTCATATCCAGCGATAACACAAGGGACTAAATCGATTCACTTCCGCACTTGATAAAATAAGTGATTGTGATAAGGTAAAAAAACACATTTCGATCACGTTTAGCAGCCTACAGAACAAAATTTACAAAAATTTTTTTCAGATCTTGGAAAATACCCAGTAATGAGGTGATGAAAGCTCTTTTCTAACTCATAAGTATCCAACTGTTGAAGTTTGTTGATTGGTCATTCCACAAGGGTTTTCTGGGGATTGATCTGTTTAGAGTTCCGTCATCACTTCTTGTGAGTACTACGTACAGCAATGGGACCTTTGATTCATGTTCTTAATCCATTGTGAGTTTAATTGAAGGAAGGCAATTATTAAAGTCTTGTCGGATACAGTTTAAATTGAACTCGTCATGAGTGAGAGACTTTACTGATCCTCAGTATCAGAACAATTTGCAGCACTGACTGCTTATAGTAAGGGCAATTATATCTCAAAAATATCCTAGCCCAAAATGGATCCAAGACACCTTTTGGGGAGGAGAGCACAAAGCCAAAGCCCAAAATAGAACAATGCACTTTATCGCCAAATGAAACACTGTATGCGAATGAAGACTTTATGGAGAGGCTTAGCTGCAGAAAAAGTTAAGATAAGGATCTCCAGGAAGACCATTCCTACAGCAACTGTAAGAGTGATATTCTTCAAATGGCCTACTGCTTCTCAGCAATGTGACAGATAAACACCCTCATATAACTATATATCCACTCAACACATCGCATGAAGTAAGATAGAAAAGTGGTTCCATGTGCGTCCCTTTAAGACATACTAGAGAACATTACCGTTCATGTAAGAAAAGGGGGACACTGGCTCAGTCGGAATCGCCGCAAATGAACGCCTCAACAACTTCTCTAAAAGCATCACATCCTACTCATTATTCAGAGTCAGTTACATAATAAACAAAAATTTCCATAAGCCTGAGCTATAGATTGCAAATAAATCTACGCCAACGTGCCAATTTACACAAATAAACATAACAGTTTTATCGTTGTAGGTGCCAATAAACGAAATAACTTGATTGCGTAAATCATCACAATATTTACAGATTTTACTGAGAAAAAAACTGCATTTCGCTATTTTTAGAAACACAGTGTTTTCATTCACACTATTCACCGACACACAACGTTTGATATCATCCTAGTTGTATGTTTATATATATTTTGTAAGCTGTAATCAAACCCCTTCACCAATACGAAAACAAGAACAGCAACAACAACACTTTTGATGATAGCAGCGCCTATCAGTTACGTAAATATCCAAGTTATTAAGGCATGATTCACCAGGATAACTGAAGTCCAACAAAAGATTCCTTTCGGAGGAAGATTACATTTCAGCCGATTTATTCAGATAGCCTACCTCAACTATAGGTTGTACGCAGCTAATGAGAACCTGCGAAGTAAAAATGTATCCATGTCATTCTGCACCACTGTTTATTCTTCATCTGATCAAATTTATAAAAGCGAATTGTTATATGAAAGTCTGCATTTACCATGGATCTAATTCGGTCTGATTCCTCAGTTTTCCATCTTGGCGTTTTAATTCCTTTCATTCTTCATCTTGAATTATAGACCCATTTTGTCAATTTGTTTTCATACTGATGTTTTTGAGACATATTATTGTCAGAGAAAATATTTTACCTATGACATGACTACTTCGTAATCCTATGCAATTTTGTTTCTAAGCGCCTTTTAACGTCTACTGACACCTTTAAAATTTTCATATCTAGTTGAAAATTATCATTACCTTTAATCTCCTTCCTTATTATTTCGAAATAAACATCAATTGTATCTATGTAAATATATATATGCATATATTATGTATAGATGCTACTGTGTAGCTAGTTTTGTGGAAGAAGTCGCCTAAATGACATCTGATTGCTGACCTTCATGTTGTTTTCATTCAAAGGTTTATTGCTTCTACGGATAAAGACGAGCAAAAATTACCAATAAAAGCCATACAACAATAAATATAAATACAATAAACATGCATATTGATTGCAATTATAGAATGATGATGCAGAACACTGACCTGGTGAATATACTTATGATTTATTCAACACCCGCATTGAATAGCACTCAATGAAGCCAATCATCCCTCAGTGAATGAAATCTAAACATCTGGAAACGAATTTTGTTGTTATTATTGTTGTTGTTTGAGAATCTGCTACACACAGCCTGTTGGCAAAGCCGGCTTGTCGGCTTGTAAATTGATGTTGCCGGTTAACTTACATATTTACGTAACTGATAGGCGCTGCTATCATCAAAAGTGTTGTTGTTGTTCTTTTTGTTATGTTCGTATTGATGAAGGGATTTGATTACAGCTAACAAAATATATATAACCATACAACTGGGATGATATTAAACATTGTGTGTCGGTGACTAATGTGAATGAAAACACTGTGTTTCTAAAAATAGCGAAATGCAGTTTTTTTCTCAGTAAATTCTGCAAATAATGTGTTGATTTACGCAATCAAGTTATTTCTTTTGTTTTACTCTCAAATCACTGGGAATTTATGGCAGATTTCTGTAGTCATCATACATGGATTATGTGCGTCACACTGTTAATCTCTCTAACATTCACCAGAATAATTACTTCGTTGTTTATGGTTGAATGCTTTCAGACAAAGGTGGATAACTGGAAAATCTTATTTTGAGTAAAAGAAGGTTTAGATTATACACCAAGGTATTTGCTAATACTTTTGTACCTATGTGTTCCAATAGGAGTAATCTGACAGACGTTCCTTCGTTCACTTATCCAGTCAAGATCTCTTCAACTTCAGGCAATCGACAGGGATGAGATTGTCAAAGCCAGAGTGGGAAGAGCAAGACACACCTTAATCAATCTGTTATCAGTTTGGAGATCTGCTGCTTTCATCATTAAAAACAAAATTCGGATTTTCATCACCAGTGTCAAGTGACTCAATCAGTTCTTTTAAATGCATCAGAACCTTGTCTAAAGCGTCAGAAAAAGCATTTCCTATATTATGCTGCAGACATCCATCAATAGCTGATATCTTCTCTGGCTTCATACCGAAGATTAGATAGCTAGTGAGAAAGAATTGGTAATAAGAAACTACTGGAAAGAACCAGTCAAGAACCTGTCAGTCGATAAATATGTGGATGAAAAGGAAGATGATTCGGACACCGCTGAAAAGGCTATGGGAAGACAATGCTGTCTAAGCCAGCCCTGGAGTGGAACTCCAATAAGAAATGACAATTTGATCATAAGTTCGACAGCGACATGTAGATGAGAGCTTTTGGACAATCATAAGGCCAGTTGAAGAGGACTCTCTAGGACAGGATAAAGTATAGATGTTCTGCTGTAGCCCTGTGTTCCACTTGGAATCCAAGGGAATAATAATTATTATTGTTTCCTGTAATTCCTAGAGAAATGTAGGGCTTCAGCCGCACGTCTCCACTGCGTTCGGTTCTCTGCCAACGTTTTCACATGCCTGCACGTCTGCCAACATGCTTTCATATCCTCTTCACATCATCTCCTCCATGTCACCCTCAAACTGACAACCCACTCGCCGACTCCCATTTGGATTCCACCTGAGTGATGGCCTCTCGTGTGATGTCACTTGATAGTTTTCTCAATGTATGACCAATCCACCTCCATTTTTTCCCGTAGAATCGTTGTTCAATCGGTTTCTGCAGGGTTGGTTCGCTCCCAGAGACCCCTGACTGTTGCTGATCTTTTCTGGTCGGCATTCTGATCTTGAGTGGTATTGAGCGGAGACAACTGTTGATGGAGGTCTGTTGTTTGTTGGAAGTGCCCTTCATTACGCGGCGCCAAGTCTTTGATCCGTATAGTAGCATTGGCATGACAGTAGAGCTAGAGATTCGGATTTTGCTTTTAATGCTGAGTGCTGTTGATCTCCACAGAGATTTGAGAGTAGTGAAAGCTTGACTTGCTCTCATGATCCCCACTTTGAAATCCTCATCAGTGCCGTCCGCCTGTAGTTGAAACTATGCTTAGTAGGTAGGCAGGTGGGTTGGCAGACAGGTAGGTTGGTAGGTAGGTAGAGGAGGTTGATTCTTTCAGATTTAAGGGAAATATATATGCATATATATGTATATGTATATAAGAATGCGTTTTTACTGATTTTCTGAGCTCCATCAACATTCTAGAGATAAAGAAACCATAAATTTGTGTTATAAATTTGTGGTATAAAGCTTAATTATCTTTAAACTATCTAACAGGCAGCAATTTCTAACATTCATTAGCCTCAAAAATAGATATGTTCATGCATTTAGACAGCTCAATCACACTGAATCAAGATGAGAATTCGAATAAAATTCACAGGAAACAGGAATCACCATTTAAACAAATAAATTATTATCATTCAGGAAATATTTTTTTTTGAGGATTGACTGCTTAATGCTTCATTAGTAAATCTATGCTGAATTAAAGTGAAACCAATTTTTAACTTCCGCTCTATTTATAAATATATATATATATATCCATGTATATATATGTATATATATCATTTCACAAAACACAAAACGTAATTATACAAAGTTCATTGCCTTCTCTCTCTTATTTTGTAAATATATTCAGTCAATCATACAGTAGTTATTGCAAAAAAACAACAAAAGGCTCTCTGTTTGCTGTCCAATGTTCAATGATCACTTTACACAATATGGCTCAAAATTCAAACACAATTCAAACATGCAAAAAAGAAGAAAGAAACTGTAGGCTGATCAGAATGTAAGCTGATAGATAGATAGATATTACAACATTTACAGCTGTGTTTACTAAAAAGGTAGATAGGTAGGTAAACTTTTTGACGATAAAAATCTTCTGTTTTCTGTTGTGTTTTTTTAAAATTCAATCGCCTATTCAGTCACCAATATTCATCTGAAATCTGTAAAAACAATGAAAAACAGGGGTAAAAAAGTAATGGAGAATTAACAGAAATATCGGTTATTATCTGATTAATATATGTTTCTAGTCAATAAAAGAAAATATTATAATATTTCAAGGGAAAACTACTCGACTATTTGTTAGAAACTGGAAGAAGAACAATTAGTTACTATTGTTCCACCAAAGACAAGTGATCTTAAGTAGTTAACGATAAAGTTAGTAAAGACTCTCATTAGAGTAAGTGCGTTAAACTCTGCTATAAAACAATTTATTGCTACTGCTGGTGTGAGACACATTTCAACTTGTTTTACCGCAAGTCACATCCCGATCTGACTATTCTAAACTGAAAACTTATTGTCGGACATAAGATAGTGGTTCAAGCTAAATGGTCTCACCTTAAATCCCTCCAAATGTCAGTCAGTTAACTTCAAATTCAAGTATAAACGTGATCTACGCGAACATTTTCGTCCACAGGATGTTTGCAACATAGACGGTACTAAAACAGAACCTAAATCAAGCATTAAATACCTTAGAATGGTTCTTTCTTTTGACCTTTCTTAGTCATCCCATATTTTGTCAATTTTTGAGAAACTCTTCTGTCTAACCTACTACATGAAGAAAAAAAGAAATCAGATATGAGTCAGTCTCTACTCTTTCAGTCTGCCCTCAACCCTTAGTCGTTACTGGACCACTCAAAAACTACTATGTTATATTGCGAAGGATACTAAAGGTTGTCATTAGGCCAAGGGGTATTCCATTATGTCAGCTCGTCACTTCTGGGTTTTTTTCATTCCTTTACATCCCCAGTGGAACATAGGGCTTCAACCTAGAGCTTTGAAGTCTCGGTAGTAGTGAAGTGCATTTTTACGGTACAGGGTTTCTAGCCAGCCTCATGCCAAACCTCCCCTCTTTACCAGTCCTACTACTGGTTCGGTGAGGCAAAGGAGTGCATCTGTGGCCGGGGATCGAACCCAAAACCACTTGTGTGGTATGCAAGCATTCTGCTGTGGTCATCAGATATCTGAATTGATGAAACAAATAGTCTAAATCCATATTGTGTGACTCTCACCCACCTGTTTATTCACAAATCTCCCAATACATCTCATAAGGTAAGACTAGAGGTCATTAAAAATATTTTATACCTGAACAACTATGTACAAAACCACGTCGATACCCTAATTGGCACGTGCTCTATGTGATTGAGAAAGTGGTAATCAGCGAAATAAGTGGCTTTTGATCTTTTCTTATTTGACATTTATGGTGATACTGTTTCCATTATTTAAGATATTAGCTATTAGTATTATTATTATGATTTTATACATTTTTGTAAATTTTCGAATAAACTGTTACTGGTAATACTAAAATGTAGCTGTGATCAATTTTCGTTGCTTATTTTTGTTATTCTTAAGTAAATTAGATGTGATATTGTGTCAGGTACTGAGAATTCCACACTGCACCTCAAGTACTGTATTTTGGAATAAAGCAAATCATTGTAGTATCACAGCCTCGCGATAATTAGCATTAAGGAATTTACTTTACATGCAGTTAATCGGTTTCAAACAATAGTGGTGTACTCAGTAGAATAACTGCACCTGAAAATGGTAGACACTTGTTATGTTTTGTACTCATCAGACGTATATTTTTGCTGCCAGTCATTTATACCATGGTGTGAGATTATGTCACCTTTCCTGTTCTAATTACAATGAATTCCTATTCTTTGGATACTCCATCAGCTAGTGTGCCAACTTCCTTTAAATAATGTTGAAAAGTCACCTTGTATGGTGGCCACATTTCGAACTTGATTGATAGAATTCAGTGTGCTCCAAACAAAGGATTAGACTCATGATACTTGTGACTTACTGCCTAGTGTCTAATCAGAATATGCAATAGAGTCATACTGGAGGTTAGTCTTGAGTCCAAACAGCTCAGCGACAACTTCTGTGACTCTACAGATAGATGGAATGGGTTCAAAAACTAGGGGGGACAAGAATTCCTTCAAGTCTGCAGTTAGGCCTTCCTAATCGACGACTGCCAACGAGCACGAAATTTAGGTCAAGCAAGGCTTCCTGACGATTGGCTGCTTAAAACTTTGGCTACCATAAACATTCTATCTCTCTATTGCATATATCTTCTCTCGTTCGGTTTGTTTTAATCGATTAGGACATGACCTCTAATGGTATTATCTCCTCTGGTGTGTAGTTAAAATGTTCACGAGCTCCCGATTAGCAGGTTCCTACTAAACTTGACGAAAGGTCTGATTGTGGATGGCAACGTGTTCCAATATCTGAGATAACTGTTCTTCACTTATGTCCTACGGTCTCAAAATGTATTCCTGGACATCTTACAAATGTTTTTCAACTAGATATCGTTGATTTTTTGAAGGAGGCAAAGTAGATATATCATCATAATGGAATGGTTTTTGCTTCAGCTGAGAGAGCATTCTGTCACAGGATACATTGTCAGTTGATATTTTACTTGAAGATATTGTTCGAAGGGAAAACATAATGCAAAAAACTCCTCTGAAAATTTTGCACAATTAATAAATTTTGTCCAGAATAAAGATGTTAATAATATTATTATTAAACCGTCTACTAACAACGATTCGCAGTGCGCAGTGATGACGAGTTAGCATAGTGGCCACTTGACTTCTAAAATTCAGTATGCGCGCCCAAAGAAGGACTAGAAGTATGACACTAGTTAGTGCCTAGTGTCCGATCAAAGCAACTCTCATCGATATAAGCATATACAGGTCAAATTCAAACTTTTGACTTCTTTGTGGATGTTATACTTTTTATTGTCGCTATAATTGTCCATCTCTTGCGAATTAAAACTACCTCGAAATACTAAGGCTAATAAGTACTATGCTGGAGTTGGCTAGACTAATCTGTTCCATAATGGAGCAATTTTTTCGCCTCCCACAACAAACAATATGATACAGTCAGTCAATATCTACTAAAAATAATGACATTTCGAGCTCAATTAAATATGGAAATACAATTCACGACATTATCTCACAGACAGATGAAATGATCATGTATCTATGTGGACATGCAAATTCCAGCATGTAATTAATTGGTTAGTGTAGGTTTGTGGTTGAAAAATGCATAATGCATCATTCTGTCAGATAGACAAAGAAATTCTGAAAACTATTTAACCATAGAAACTAGACAGGAAATAATTTTCTCTAGAAATTAAAACCATATTGATTAGCAGTGAGAGCCAAAGGAGAAGATATCAGTTAATGTATGTTTAAAAAAAAGGTAAAACGATTTAGAAAATTAGGCTTACTACTAGCTTCTACAGCTCGAATAGAATCAGCTACAAGTTTGACCACGGATTAAAATCAGTTGAAGAACCAATGGAAACCAGGGAGTATTGAAGAGCTGTTTTGTCCTAGGGCTTGGAACACATTGGCACCACCCATCCACTGAGGTTCGAACTCAAAACCTTCCAGTTACAAGGGAAGGTAGGAGACAATCCAGTCACCGCTATCCAACTTAATGGGCCATCAAATCTAACCTCTACTAATTCGTAAGTATAGCAAGACTGAATACCAACCAATGTCATCAGCGAGTATTTGTCCTCATTCCCAACCGGGTGGACCCCACTGGTCACTAGCTTTCATCAGAACTCCAGGCACCTTCATCGTGTATCCAGTTACTAAGGAACATCATTTTAATTTTTAAGAGTTGATAACATCAACTTTTCGGCATTATCAGTAACAATAAATTCAAAAATATGAATAGAGAGGGTGTTGTGAATCAGACAATGTGGATTTAGACCAATCATCTTTTGAATTTAGATATTTGACTACTGCAGTAGTGACGAGCTGACACAGTGGCATACCTCTTAGCCTAATGACAACCTTTAACACCCTTCAAAATCTGACATAGTCCTTTTTGGATACCCCGCAAAAGATCAAAGGGTAGCAAAAAAGATTGATGGGTGAGATGGAAGACTTAACATACTGAAAAAACTGTGGGTTGAATGACATATGACTGTCCTATTTTTGTTAATGTGGGCAGTTAGACGATAAAATGCCATAAGGAAGAACTATTTCCGAGGTATTTATTGCTTGAGTGAGTTTCTGTTTTAGTGCCGTCAATGCTAAAAGCATCACGTGTAGATCACGTTCATGCTTGAATGTGAAGTCAGCTGTCTGACATTTGGAGGGATGTAACATAAGTCCGTGTAACTTAGACCGCTGGCTTATGCTCAACAATAGTCACATTGGGACGTAACTGGCATCGCGCCAGTAAGATCATCAGTGTATTCTGCGACGTTGATTTCTTCTTAAGGATGCAAGTCATATATGAAGACTTGGTCATCTACGTCTTATTATGATTATTACTACCATAAAGAGTCTATGTCTACACTGTAGTTATAGTTGTAAGCTGTGTTCTCTTTCTTTAAGTTATCTGTGTATCAGTCAATTAATTCATCTTTAACTGCTCATTAACTTTCTCTCTCTCCTTCCCAAAGTTAAGATCGTTGAACAAGTGTAGTTTTAAAGTTTTAAAGTATCCGAAGGCCCAGAATTAGTACCTTCTTTGAAATCTCATGGTTTCTATGGATTAGACATTCCTCATGAGATTAAAACAGTTAATAATTAATACTCAAACGACATTCTGAAATTTTCATTGTTGTGCATTTTTTTTATTCCTTCACGTTCCCAGTGGAACATAGGGCTTCAAGCTAGTGGCTTGAAGTTTCTGTAGCAGTATATATTTTTACAGGATGGGGTTGCTAGCCTCATGCCCAACCTTTTCTCTTCACCAGCTTTAGTTCTGCCTTAGCGAGGTAAAGGAGTGAGCCGGCCGGGGATAGAACCCCGGACCATGTGCATGGTCGGCAAGCGTTCCAACCGCTATGCCACCAACGTGCATAAAACGTAAATATTTCTAATGATTATTAAAGTGACAAACATTTTATATTGTCACAGGAGAAAAGACAGAAACCTAAATGACATTCTACAGATTCAGTTGAATGGAATTCTTCATT